CGCCTGATTCCCTCCTGAATAGATAGCACTAGTACCACATACTGCCGCGACGCGGCGACGTGGCGACCGCGCGTCTTTCTCGTAAGTAAAAATCGTCCCGTATTAGTATAAAAGGCGAGCCGATAGGATGCGAGAGTGAGTTGTCTGGATCATGGATAGACCTCAATAACCTGAATATACTTTTGATGACTAGGTGATTTAACACAATTTAACAATTAGTTACAAAGTGAATTTCTTAATAAGAAGCTGCTTAATAGAAAACTGCTTTCAGGGCCACTTAGAACACAACGTTACATTTTTATCAGGGCGTCATCAGGCTGCCTTAACAAGACCTGATCAGTCGTTAAGGCAAAATCTATCGCGCCCCTATCAGGGCCGTATTTCATTTTCTACTCGGGCCTGATCAGGAAACTACTTTCAGGGCCACATGGAACACGACGTTACATTTTTGATCAGGGCGCCATCAGGCTGCCTTAACAAGACCTGATCAGTCGTTAAGGCAAAATCTATCGCGCCCCTATCAGGGCCGTATTTCATTTTCTACTCGGGTAATAGACAGATATCTCTAAAATATATAATAAAATAACACAGAAAAGTACAGGGAGGAGAAAACGAGATCTGACGAGGGCATCGAAATATAAACATCCAAAAAGCGTCTCGCAGACATGCAATTAATAGACAAATATCTTTAAAATATAGAATAAAATAACACAACCCTGCTGGAAATAACTCTACAAAATTCTAAAAAAAATAAAATAAAATATCCTGCCAGAATCTAAGAAATTCTACGTAAATTTCAAAAGTGTTATAAAAATCAACATGAAAATGCTAGAATTGGAACCTTTTTGTTAATTTTTGTAATATTTTACAAGTAAGCGGATGTTTTAATCCTTTAAGATTTTGTTGTTTCTGAAAATTTTAAAACTAGCAAAGTTTTGTGCCAATTCTTACAAAATTGTACATTTCATGAAATACTACCTGCAAAAAATTTTTTGATTTTAGAACATTGTAATTTGTGGCATTATTTCGTAGATATTTTTACAAAAAAAAAATAAACGTTCCAACGAAGATATAAAAATTTCTATTTCAAGTCAATTTTTTGTAGTTACTTATAGAAATTTTTTCCGCTAGGAGGAAAGTACACGGGGGAGGAGAAAACGCGATCTGACGAGCGCATCGAAATCCAAAACGCGTTCCGGAGAGATCCGTGGGCTCGCAGACCGGACGCGCGCGAACGGGCACGATTAGAATCTCGGAACTGAAAAGGCACTCGATCCACGTGAGTCAACTATTGCAGATAACGCGAGACGTATCAATTATCAGTTGGAATTCGATAAGACGCCCTCCTTTTCCCTTCCCCACCCTCGCCGCGTACCTAATAGTCTTCCCTATCTGGAATTACGCATTCGGGGAGACACGTGGGCGCGCTTTTATCAGATATCCGGCCTCGCCCTGGCCAGAGGGTCGGCGCGGCGCGTCCGTTCCCCTCGGCCGTGAAAAATCGGCGGCGGCTTCTACGCAGCGAGGCGCACGCGGACGCGTTTCCTCATTAACACGTGTCTCGTGGCGTCGGAATGATGTCAGTGCGCGCACGTGTCGCACCGACACGTCCATATACCAGGTCGGCGCGTGTCGCCGGGACGCGCGGGGGCATTCGTCCCCGCATCTCTCTCTAGTAGAGCGAGCGTGCGGGGCAGAATGACGTAAGACGGCCTTCCACGTGCCCGCCCTCGTCGCTGCGGCGCGGGCCGCGCGCCGCCGCCGTCGCCGCGCGTGTATCGCCTCTCCGCGTAACCTTAACGCTTTAATCGAGTTTTTCCCCGCGAATGTGCCAGAATTATCGCGCACGTTACACACATATATCGTGTGTCACGCTGCGTGATTTTCAGCACCGTCGGCGAAAAGCGCAAAATAGATGACTTGGGACGTCCGGCGCGGGCGCGCTCGTGCGCGCGCGTTAATCATCACCGACACGTGCCGGGGCTTGGAAAAAAAAAGAAGAATCACATGTTTATACCGCGGTGCCTCGGGTATGCCTTTCTGAAAGAATCGTACGAGAGATTACGTATGCCGCGCAGCTGAGTGGCGCGACTATTTATCTGTTATGATGGAGGCGAGTACGAGGAAACTCGCTGTCGTCATATGGATATATCTAGCTCGATAAACCTTACGGTCTTAATAACGGAACGTGTGAGTTTCGCGGTAGAATTGCGGCGTGAGGTTCGGGACAGAACGCGCCGAGACTTTCAGGGATAAGCGCCCGAGACACCTGGCAAAAAAGGTTTTGATAAAAGTTAAAATTCTACTTCGCGATATCTCGCGCCGGAATAGACTCACATGTCTACACGTGTACATTATAATCGCGCGATTCATCCCCCGTGTATTAATTCTTCGATATTTCACGTCGATGGACGGCGATGAATAAAGATCACAGACGCTATTTTTACCAGCTTTCATTCTGATACTCTTATATATTTCGAAGAATAACTTTAACACATCGAAGTGTGTGTCCCTTGCGCGCGCGCGCGCGTGTGTGTAAGGGTAGGAAGATACACTTTGAGTTAGAATTGCTCTTCGAGATATAGAAATATAATTTCACGCGCATATAGCTTTTTCACGTTTGTCCTATTTTATGTACAGGGTGTCTTAATCTAATGTCCCATCCCAAAGAACTTTTTTATTTTTGATCGCAGAAAAAAACGTTTCAGACAAAAGTTGTTTGGTTCGAAGGGGGACATAAGATGGTGCCATTAGTTTGACATTGACGAGTTGCTTGACGGTCACGTATAGGTCACCTGCAATTTTTTATACGTAACCCCCTATTGTTTATTATACTATCTTATTCTACTAATTAATACGAACAACTTTTGTCTGAAACATTTTTCGATTTGTCTAATATTTATTGAGATATTGAAGAGAAAATTTATAACTTTTTCAATGTTCAGCGTGTGATATCTCGATAACTGTTTGTCGGAGGGAAAAGTAGTACAGGACTCTTTTTACTTGATTTAGTCTCAGTTTCAGTTATTGAAAAATTTTGTGTATTGTAACACACAAAATTTACGAGCAAATAAAAAAATGTTTCGAACAAGAGTTGTTCATATTAATTTATTAGAATAAGATAGTATAATAAACAACAGGGGGTTTCGTATAAAAAATTGAAGGTGACTTTACGTGACTTTCAAGCAACTTATGTCTCCTTTTGAACCGCACAACTTTTGTCTGAAACGTCTTTTCCTGCGATCCAAAATAAAAGAGTAATTTGGGGTGGGACATTAAATTGGAACACCCTGTATATTTATAAAATTGTAGTCTTTTTGCGAAGAATTACAACTTTTGCAATTTGACACAATGTATTATAAAAAAATGTTTCATTAGAAATTTATAAAAATATGCACAGGTTGGCGCGCGTGTCGCCGCGTCGGTTTTTATTATATAAAAAGATATTTATAATTTTATAAAATCTTATCTGCAATATATCCCGCTATATTATATATCTTGTACGATATAATTTTATAGAAAAAAAAAACGTAATAGAGGAAGGTCCTCTGTTATGAGATAGGATTCTAATATGAGACAGCGGGTTTTCAACGTTCAAATCCGATGGCAAATCTTTTTTCGCGAAGATCACGCGATCTAACAATCAGTTTTCCACTGAGCAGACTTCACTCCAACCGCAAAAAATTCACGGTGGCACCAACGGGTCGACGCTTATTAATTTAGCAGAAACTCCGCTATCTCACATTAGGAGCCTATCCCATAATAGAGGACTTTCCCCTATAATGTGTCTCGTATAATAATTTAATTTAAAAAAAAACGTAAAGTAATATAGATATAAAATTACACGCAACGCACAATTTCGCAGGTACGTAAAAACGCCGACGAATAAAGAAAATAGACGCGTGCCATGGCGTACACGAGCGGCGATAAATCGGCACGGACGTAAAACGGGCGCGTGGCCGCGCGAGGGGTCGTAAAAATTGGCGCGAAAATACAGCGGCGTGAATAATTGAGAGTGAAATGCCGGGCGCGCGATGCAGATGCTCTTTACCTGCTCGGCTTTTCCACGCACCGCGACGTGTCAAGGACTCCGCGTATTTATTTATCGCGTATCATAGCGGTCGCGGCCGCGGGCGCGCGAGCGCGAGGAGCGCCCGTCCGCGCCCGCGTCACGCCTCGCACGTGGTGGAGGATTCGAGGTCAAAACAATCTCAAATATACGCGCCGCGGCGCGCGCGAGTGGGAGTCGTGAGGCTTTGGCATTATTTCGGTGCAGGCACGTGCAGTGACGTCGGCGGTAATCAGGTCATCGCCTGCATCGATCGCATCGGGCGGTTGCGAGGGCGGCGGCGGCGGCGGCGGCGACGGCGGCGGCGGCGGCGGTGGCGGCGGAAGGATACGCCACGTGCTGGATAAGGTCGTCGTCAGCACGCCGGATGTTATTCCGAAGTCAATGGTGGGACATTAAGAGACGTCGGCGCGCCAATAATGCCGCCGCTCGGCGCGCGTTTGCGGAAGTTGTAACAACAATGACGGAGAGCCCCCATTGTCGTCTTTTATACGCGCGCGCACGGACTTTTAGAAATTGACCCCGATGATCGCCCGCGATACGGATTGCCACACGATTCCCTGTTGATTGACTGAGTCGAGGCGATATGTGTGTGTGTGTATTTTTTAAAAATATTCATAGATATGCTGAATTGCGTATGAATAAAATTGCGAGATACGCGCGAATAAGGCTTGATTAACGTACCTGCGAATGTTCTGGTCATTTCGCAAATGCGACCCCAAGTAGAGCGTATTAGTCATCAAGATGACATCATTTTTTTTATCATATTTTATGGCGACGTCAAATAGCCCACAGAGAGGCACTTATTTGTGACATCGTTTAAGACATCAAAATGTTGTAAAAATGATCTTGCTTTACGAAGCAAAGCTAATTAAATATTATACATTATAAAATAAATTGAAGTAATATAACCCAAGGAGAAGAAAACGTCAGGATGATGTCAATTTGATGCCATATTGACCAAAATTTGACATAAATTTGGTCGATGTGACATCAAATTGACATCATCACTGACTTTTTCTTCTCCTTGGGAAGATAAACATAATATATGACGGGTCATGTAATGTGTAACAATATATTATTGTACACATCACGAATATCATAAAGCAGCATGTCGTAAATCAGTTATTGCAAAGTAAGTCTTGATGTCCATCACTTTACGACGTGAAATCCATCATTTTAACGTCACATTGACGTTCTTGTGATTAACTTGTTCTACTTGGGACGTGGCTTTATCGCATGTGTTTATATGAAGCACCATGTTGTTAGTTATAGTTATAGTTAGTTAGTTATAAAAAGAATTGTAGACAAAAGCGAGCTGATACTTTTTAATCATCATGCTTTGGAATAAGAATTCAGAAAATCATTTTTATTTTTTTAAAGCTGGGTTTTGTTGAGAGAGAGAGAGGGGGGGGGGAAGCGATGCCTCGATACGATATTACCTTTCCCTGCTCAATGTAGATTTATTCTAGAAACGTATTTGACCGTTTAAAATAGAATCCCGAATATACGTCGAATATATAAATATCCGAGGAGAGAAAATATATTCGTACAATTCATGCAGTTCTGTTATATGAAACGACCACACAGATTCTGAAGAAGATATGATTTTTATACATCAACGAGAAGTAATTATTACTTTAATCGTGTCTGTGAAATATTATAATTCTTTAACGTGGAAACACGTTTTACAGCATTCTCTTGGAAATTTTATTTCCAAAAAATCTTATCACGCCGTTTCACTGTCCCGTAAATTATCTTAGTCTTCAGTAAGAATTTGCGATAATTACGAAATACTGCGAAACTGTAAAAACAGGGTGAAACAGTACGATAGCAAGAAATACCACCTAAAAGTGACGCACGTGTCTCTTTTTTTCCTGTATAACACAGGTGCATTGTGTACCGATCGTGTAAATGAATGCTAAAATAATATTAGTATAATATTCACCAAAATTTCAAATCATTACATTATTCTCGTTTCCATCGAACGCCATCGGACATCACGAGTCACATCTAAAATTTACCGAAAAAAAAAAACAAAAAAAGATTATCATTCTTTCGCTGGTAAAAAACGAACGGTACAATTTTAAAAAGTTTCGGAAATTTTGATTCGTCCCGTCGTCCACCGCAGCCTCCGCCTGAATTTAAAATAAACGAAGCGAGAAACAAATCGTAAGAAATGTAAGTGCGTGTCGGCAGGTGTCCGAGATAGAGAGAGAGAGAGAGAGTGAATTTTTCGGTTCACGGGGCATTTCTACGAATTGCTTTGTGTCGCAATAGTTGGCGAGTTTCAGCCTGCGTCATGGTAACACGAAATTTGCATATCGTTTCAGGATTCTCACGTCGAGAATGGCGCCGACTATTTGCGTAGCGGAGTTCCCGATGGCGGGTACCGCCGTTAGCACGCTCGCTCCCCGCCAACAAGGACCCGACGACGACACGACATGGCGGATATTCGCGTTGCAGGAGTTACTGCGGACCGGGACGATCGTCGAGGCGTATCTACCGCCCGACGAACATTGCTCGCAGAGGCTCGCCTGCGCGGATACGGCTCCGAACTGTTCCGTCGCCGAGGCGGACGGAAGCGGGGAGCGTACGGCGTATGCGGACGAGGGCTACAGGAAAGGTAAAAGGGATGCGCACACTGATAAAAACAAAGATCTTCATCCAAAGAAATATTACTTCACTCAAGAAAATTATTCATTAGGTGGCTCCTAATAGCCAGTTAACTTGAATTAAAAAAATAACAAACAAATTAAAACATACGTTGCTTTAATTTAAGTATTTATTAAATATCAAAGAATAGATAATTTTTGATTAAATATATATTGTGGATTAATAAAATTTTTTATTTTAATTCTATAGATGTTTGCTAAGATGTAATTTTTCCAGCGAAGAAAATTGGATTTCTTATTTAACAAAAACAATTATTTCATTTAATAAATAGTATTCTATATATCTCATGAAATCTTTATTTGAATGTAGAAAATGTAATGATTTAAATTAATTTACTTAATATAATTTACATAGATTAAAATACATAGATTTACTTAAAATTTGATATTTTGCTTTAAATAGAATAAATATTTACTTCGGTATAAAAAAATTTAAGTAAATATATTTACTTAGTTTAAAAAAATTTTTATCAGTGCACTAAGGCTCGATTACAGTCAATTCTCACATTTAAGAAACGTCTTAAATATTCTTGAAATATTTCGTAGCCAGTAAAATGATCTGTGTCAGCATCCATACTGATTAGTTTTTGGCTAAATACTCTTTGAACATATATTTAAGGCAAAGTTAAATATAAAAATTGACCGTAAACTGGCCTTAGCGTGCACTCGGTGCGCACTAGTGCGAGCACTCGAATTCGCTGTTGGAATTTTCACGAATCCCGAGGCACGAGTCGCGCGAAAGATTCTCAAGCCTGATCTACAATGTGCTCTCTGCGTCCAGAAACATTCTATTCTGTAGTCGATGAATACGTTTAAAGAATTTGTGCGAGTTGATAAATTGTGTATTGTACATTGCATAAACGTACATGGTTGACAGATTATTTTAAGCGGTTTGATTTGTTAAAATAGAATGTTTCTGGATGCAGAAAGCGCATTGTAGATTAGGCTTTCACGATCTGCTGGAAACCGAGAGGGCAAAACTGAGAAACAAGTAGCACGTTTTAACGCGGAGGGTGCATGTGAAAATGTAATCCGCGTATCAATCTACAGTTTTTTTTTTAAGTACAGATGCTCTTCTGCAACGTTTCGAGCTACAAAAAATTTGTGGACGTATCTAAATCGCTGAAAAGAAAAAGATTACAATTCTCTCGTTGTTAAAAACGAACGATCGAGATGTAACTTTGGAAACTTTGTTGGAAATTTTTACCTGGCTCTGGCAGTGCACCCATTGCTTGTAGCCTTGATTTAAAATAGACAAAGCGAGAGATAAATCATTACGAGAAGTGTAAGGGTGCGACGCCAAGCGTCAGGTGACCGCGAGAGTTCGTTTCCCGATTTAGAGAACATTTCTATGAGATGTTTTATGTTGCAACAGTTGGCAAGTTGATGTCTGCGTCGTGACGCACGTGCTAGCACGATCGGTGTGCGTTGTCGACTCGCTGTGTGAAGTTTCTCCAAGATTTTTATTTTTAATACAAAAGAATCGCACGAACTTCTCTCAATTGCCTGATGGTGTCAGAACTTTTGACGTTCCCTCCATCTAACACGACGTTTCTCGACATTTATGTACCTTTTTCTCGAGAAGTCCCTTACGGGAAGGCAACGAGATAATTGCTAGAAAATTATTGTACACACATCAGTAATTTCTACTGATTCAATTACTGATATACAGTACTGGAATTAGAATTTGTTTTATTGTTCCCCTTAGGGTTACAATCTCTTACAATCAGTCTTGTACCTGAACTTATTCTAACTTGTTCTAAATGCTGACTTGTCCTACTTATCCTACATTTAAGTTTTTAATTTTTCTTTAAAATTCCAAAATTTCTAAGTTTCCGATATACAGTAATTTTCTAGCAATTATTTCGTTACTTTTTCGTAAGAGATACCTAATCGATTCTGTAATTTCCTCTGTTTAATCTCTTCAGAAATGAACTACGAGACGATCAGTCGACTTGAAAACAAATTGTTAGGGTGACGTCCCATGGCGCGTATCGGGCGTATCAACTCCACGACCAATCACAGGGTCATTCTGATAGAACCGTTATATAATTCTGTCGACATGGTTCTGTGATTGGCTCTACCCAAGGAGAAGAAAAAGTCAGGATGATGTCAATTTTATGTCATATTGACCGAATTTATGTTAAATTTTGGCCAATATGGCATCAAATTGACCAAAATTTGACATAAATTCGGTCAATATGACATCAAATTGACATCATCCTGACTTTTTCTTCTCCTTGGGTACGCAAGTTACGCTCCATGTGACGCCACCCTGATCCTGGAAAAATTAAGAGAGCGAAGAATCGATAATTTGATTCGGCCCGGAGTGATAATAGAAAGGAAAAAGGGAGACACGCGGAGAGAATTTTCTCTTAAAATGTGAAAGTCACGTAATCGTGGGACAACGCTGCACCCTCCCCGTTAGGACGAAGCGAAGCACGCTGAAGTTCTCCCGGCGCGGGGAGGTGATCCTCGTGTCCTCCGTAAATCTCCCCCTCGCGCTCGCCCGAGAGATTCGTGCCTCATTTTCGCGCCCCGTGCCCGACTCACCTTTCTGACGTCTCCCAATCGTTCCCGCAGATCTCCTGAGCATCGTCATACGCACGGTAACACTCGTACGGCGCAATCGTATCCTTCAGAGGCAGCTGGACGCGTTGCAGGCGGAAACGCGACGGTACCTCAGCTCCGCGCTGAACAATCCGGAAGGTCAGCAGCGAAGAACGCAAGCGGAAGACCCGTCCTCCGCGGAGGGAGCCGTGCCGGCGTTATCGCCACCGCGCGATCCGGCGTCGGCGAGAAATTGGTCTCGCGTGGTCACCTTCGGCCGCAGTGATTGCGACAGCACCGAGGACGAGTCAAGTTTATCTGACAAATCCGAAGATTCGGACTGGGGCGAGTGTTGATCTTTCCGTACCCGGAGATTGATGACTCCTCAATCGGCGCGCGAATAGGCAAGTGAGTCATTTAGGCGCCCACTCTGCGTATCGTAGACACGTGTTTGACCTTAGTACCTTATTAAAATATATTTTAATATACTTCTCTTCGGGAGGCTCCGAGCATGCAGACTCGTTTCTTGTTCTGCGTAATGTATTAAAAAAAAAAACTGACAAATGTATTCCTTACCGCGTCACTTCCCTTACAGAAGGGACCCAGGGAGAAATGACTCGAATCGACATCGGAGTCGTCGAATTGAACGATGTCGAATCGACGAATCGTTTCTCACTGGGGAAATAATTACTAGAAAATACATAAGTAATTTCTAATGATTTAATTACTGAACTCTAGTGATTGTTCAGTGCTGTTTTCGTTCCCCGTGTATAAACATGTATTTCTGTAAGGGTCCGCAGGGTCCCAATGTCTAGAACTCGATTATCGTTAGTTTTCACTTACCGGGCACTAGAGAATTTACGGAGAGTGAACTCGCGACACTGTCCCTTCGTGAAATTCGCGATTTCTTCATTCGCTGCTGGAGAAATCGGCATTAATCATTCCCGAAACTGTGAATTGAGATTGAACGGCTTTTCGGAAATTAAGGTTTAGAGGCTAACAATTGACGGGTTTGATATTCGCGGATAACAATTGAAAGGACAATCTGTCACGCATTACTGAAGGTAAAGTTAAGAGAGTTTTGATTTGAGGTTCGATTAAAAGAAGACGCCGAATATTGGAACGTAAGGGATCGAGAGCGATGACGTGCCTCGATGGTATCGACGAAAAGAAAAGTGACTTCCTACTACTTCCAATCCTACGGAGGAAGCAATGTTATATGTCCAGTTTTTGGTCCTATTCTAGGACGCTCTCTCCGCCTTCGTATTCGCGCGCGATATCTATAGAGCGATAGAGATTTCACTGAACAAATAGATTGCTTCGTTAACAAGTTCGATCTGAAACTTTAGACTAAAGAGTTTAATGCTGCGATGAGATATGTCGAAGAGATTCCGACAAAGGGACAGAGAGGGGAAGGAAAGAGAGAGAGAGAGAGAGAGAGAGAGAGAGAGAGAGAGAGAGAGAGAGAGAGAGAGAGAGAGAGAGAAAAAAGAGACGAGCGACTTCTGTGCGCGACCCGAGTAGAAAAAGTTAGTCACAAGAACGTCAATTAAAATGATAAATTTCACGTCATAAATTTAAGTGATCGACAAGATTTACTTTGCAATGACTGATTTATGACATGCTGTTTTATGCTATTCGTGATGTGTATAATAATATGTTTTATTACAGATTACATGAACAGTCATATATTATGTTGATCTTATATTACTTCAATTTATTTTTAATGTACAGTATTCAATTAGCTTTGCCTTGCAAAACAAGATCATATTTACAACATTTTGATGTCTTAACGATGTCACAAATAGGTGCTCTCGGTGGGCTACTTTGACGTCACCGTGATGCATAAAAAATGATCCAAAAATGACGTCATCTTGATGTCTTCGTGACTAGTATGTTCTACTTGGGTAACTGGAAGATACATCTTCCGATTGTGTGAAATAAGGAAGATCCCGGCGTAATCGCGTCTTATCACACAATTGCGCCGAGACAGAGCGAGGAGAATTATTCTTGGATTTTAACATATGCAGGCAGAACTCGCGCGCACTCTTTTCCCAACGCAGCGGCTGCTTCCTCGCTGCTTCAGATATCGTGACAAGTGAGATCGTTCCTCTCAGACGATTTAAAATTAACCGAGTGCCGGCGATTAGAAGCGGTGAGGTACTGTGTCGAGTATCAAGTTTAGATGTTGCAAGTAATCCTTGATTAAACGTTAGACACTTATTAAACGTTTAGATGGCACGAGCATTTAAAAGAGTGTTAATATAATCGCTTCGAGTAGTGTAAGATGCGAGAAGGACGCCATTAATTAATCTGGCTCATTAGGATGCTGGCAATTAAGCTATCTTCACGTGATCCTTCATCGAGAGGTAGAATGGATGTTGCGAAAATCAGTCTGCTATCAACGATGCCAATTAATGACGAAGTAAAGGAACGAATGATATATTACAACGTGACACGCAGTTCAAGAGCGTCGGCTTATAAGTTATACGTTAAAAGCATTAAATAATCAGACACTTTCGATGCTAATTTGCGAATTGATGTCTGCTCATCGCAGATTAGAATGGAATAATTGCAGAAACGTTATATTGCATTCCCAACTATGTGTGCCATTCAGTAACATTTATTGTATCTTGGAATGTTACTAACAGTAGTCCTGAAACTCTCGGAGGAAGGGTTACATGAATAGAAAAACATTATAATGAATGAAGAAGATACATTCAACTAAAGAACCCGCTGAATAAAGCTTTAGCCGACCGCCGATTTAAATTAGAAAAAAATATTGTGAAGCTTTCAACTGAATTTTCATTATTTCCAATCTCCATTGGATGAAATTGACTTTAATTATAGTCAGCCTTTATTCAAAGAATCGAGGTTTCCGTTAAATGGCTGGTATTTTGAAATCGAAGCGATCTACAGGGTCATGATGTTACAATTCTCGTAGCATTTGCAAATCCTTGTAACGTTACTCGTACAACATTCTTTTGCTGTGTAATCACAATATTAGAATCAAGTTGAAAAATTTTCTCTCGGATTTCCGAAGTAGCGTCAGAAACATCTGATCTAACAATTTTAACATTAATAGAGCGTACCCCGTTACTGTTATATGGCTGTGAAGTTTATATTTGCACCCTCATTATCTTCTTTGCAATATTTTACCTACCTTACGTGGCTGCTTGGTCGAACGGATTTTCTGTGACATACTAAAGATTTTCGCAATTTTACGCGAAAATTTTAGCTTAATATGTGCGCGACAATTGTCATAAATAATCACGTAATCATTAACTCGTCGAAGAAATGAATTCTTCCTATGAAAAAGAAAAAGCGATTGATATTCGCGCAGAACTTAACACCAGGTCACAATGACGTGTGCTTAAATCCAGTCGTATAAATCTCTCGATGCTCTTGTAAATACAGTCTATTACTTTTCAACATTGACTACTTTTTGTTTCATGAAAATTGTAAGCTAGGATCATCCGATTACACGCAGCGGTTCGTATTACGACGTAATGCATTACGATCATAAAATAAATAAGGGTTTGTTACTTGTGAAAAAGATATCAAATCTCTTATAAAAGTATGCAAGTCTCTTGCAAAAGTGTGCGTATAAAAGTATGCGAAATTATTGGAAATTTTAATTTCAATTTCAATCCGATGGTTATTCCGTGAGTTTAGCTATTGCAAACGGTGATGTATGTGTAATATGTATCTGTAAAGAAGAAATTTGACATCTTTTTCACAAGTAACAAATCCTTATTTATTTTATGATCGTAATGTATTTTGAGATATCTACATAATTAACGAATTGAAAGCAATGTTAACACCGCATTTAATCTACTTTAGAATTGTGTGATAAAATCATAGTTACATACATATATATTTCAGGGATATAATTAATAATTTCATATATATATGTATATATATATATATAAGTCATGTGATAAATATCCTTTTAGCATTATTCAATCAAACTGTACGCGAATAGAGAGAAATTGTGCCTAAGGTGCATGTACGCGCTACTTTCCAATCACTGGAGCAATACAAATATATATCTATAATAAGCGGCGTTTAGATAATATTTAGATTCAATGTAGCGATTAGAGCTAATGTCCAACGTAATATTTACTGTATTTATAATAGATAAGAATATTTTACTGTCGACATGATTACAAAGTATTTTATGAATTTGATCTTACATATGACGGATATATGTGTGCGTGTGTGTATTTGCGCGTATGTGTGCATGCGCGAAAATAAATTCATCATAAAAACATTTACAAATAATGTCTTGTCATATCATTGTGCTTAATTATTTCTAATATCGCTGTCGAAAAGAACGGAATCAAATATTGTAATAAGAGATTAGTATTTAACGGAGCAATATACATTGTATATCAATATATTTTGTATAGCTTGTGTGACTTAAAAATAATTGAGAGCGTATGTATACTTGGTACATATATTGCATCCCCCCCTCACTCAGATTCTTTACAGGAAGAACGGAATTTTTATTACTATACAAAATTTGAACTCGGTTATAAGTGATGGCTATATTACCGCAACAAAGTTATATATGTGTATATATGTATATATATGTATATATAATAATTTATTTACACCTTTCAATTTTTCACCACTTAAGTTTATTTTAAATGCTGCCCATTAGTCTTGTAATATTATATCCTTTTAAACATGTAGTAAAAAAATAAAGACAATTTTACAATCGTAATACTTTATGACTATCACTGATTTATCACTATATTTTATTTGAGTGTTTATTTATCAATAATTTTATAGCTAAAGATATGCTATTAAACTGTACAAGATCTAATCTGCCTCATATATTGCTTTCTGATATTCACAAAAAAATTTGATCTCCTATAAATATATTGTATATCTCCCTCTCATTGTATCTTAAGATTGTAGCATTTCAATTTTTATTAATGGGCCTCCGGTGATTGAGATAAAAGGACTACCAAAACCCACAACTGGAGCAGTGCCTATAAAAAAAAAAATCTATTTTGTAACCGTATTTGTCTACGACAATTAGTGTATGCGTACACTTACCATATAAATCAATACTAAAATTCTAGCTAGCGGATATCTCCTTAAAAATACACCTGTTCGAATACTTATAGCATCCAATGAAGAGTAAGCTCTTTTTACTCTTCTAGTAACACTGGTATCGAATGGTGTTTCCATTAAAAACGTGGGAACTTGAGCTTTTGCATCGTCTGTGTCGTTTATATTATTGTACGATATGTTTCTTCGTAAATTGCCCGCAGCATTTCTATATTCGTGCTGTTGAGAAGAACTGCTATTGGTATGTACACACATAAAACACACACATATACACACACACACACACACAAAATATATTCTCTAGAATTCTAGATGAAAACGAATCTTAAAATACTAAATTTTATAATATCAAAATTTAATGTTATAATTGGGAATATAAGTCTATAAAAATTTATATGTACTAAATTTACCTCGATCTTCTCAAGCTGGAGACGTAACGCATTTCTTTCGGTTGTCAAACATTCCAATGCTTGCTGTTTCAGAACCAGAGTTTGGGTAAGAGATGCTATTCTCGAATCCATTTCATTGCTCGGCGTTGCCGATACAGATAGCTGCAACTTAAGCCTAGAAATCTCTGAATTCTGCTTTTGTAACTGTAAACTAAATCCATTACGCTGACTAATTAATTCATCTTTCAAGGATCTTATTTCCTAAAACAACATTTGTATTTTTAATCCTTCGCATTTATTAAATTCGATAATTTAGAGATGCAGCATTTGTGGAGATGCAAGAAACGTGATTTACTTCCGAATGCAACTTCATATCTTCTTCCGCTTCTAATCTTCGGCGTCTCTCACTAGTAAGAATCTCTTGATTTTGTAGATTTGTCTCGACTGACTTTTGTCTAATCTTTTCCAAGTTCAGATCTGCATTTGCCAACTCTTCTCGCAGCATTTTCAGTTGCTGACAAATCTGCTGATTTTCCTCCCTAACACCGTCACGTTCCTGCCTAAGATTAACGCAATTAATTATATTCATATAGATCTATTGTCAGGTGTTAACGTTAGTAGACTCGTAAAATGTTAATTGATGTTACGTTACTTCAATTGATTCAACTCCATAATGGTGGCCTCGTCCATAGCGGTCGGTGCATTGCTCTTAAGTTCTGTTATAAGTTTCTCCTTTTCTTGTAGAGTTTTCAACGCCCTAGCCTTATGCTGTTCCAGTTCAGACCTAATTGAGATTAATTCCTGCCTGTTTCTATCGATGACAGATTGCAAATCTATTATTTGCTTCGACTGCTCTAACTTTTCTACTTCCAAGGCTTTCAGTTTCTCATTTAAAACTACAATCTCTTTTTGATAATCTGTCTGCTTCCCAAGAAATTCATTTTGTTTCTCCAAGTGCCTGTCCATCTCTTTTATATATTTCTGTTTATTCGCTGAATCAATTGGATCAACTAAATTATCTGTTCTTGCAGTGTTCGATTTTATTTTATTACTGGGCTGAGGATAGAGTATATTTGAATGTTCTTCCGCATTACTGTGCTCTGCAATGTAAAAGTGCAGAATTTACGTGGCAAACGATATGCTACAAACTGACGGCGCAACATAAAAATCAAGCTGTACCATTCTGTGTAGTTTTCGTTGTCAACTTATCCAGAGTTTCGCAATCCAAGGTCTGTACTTCATTATATGGATACAAATTTGCACTTTCCGCATTTATTTCGGCGTCTTTATCGTCCGAAGCGTTGGGGATCATCTCTATCGAAACATGAGACGGAGTTGGGCTAATCCGATCACTCGGAATCGACAGATCCGAGTCCGTATCATCCGCGGGATGCTCCACCAACAACGATGACATAGTCAACGGCGATTTGTAGGATTCTGTTATCCTCTTTGGACTCGGATCGGGCGTATTCAAGTATGTGAATAGCGCGTCCTCGTTTGGTGCCGCTACGTTCAACAAATTCACCGACGTCAAGCTCGAAGTAGGAGCTGCGTAGGGAATATGACCCGACGATCCCAACAGAGGAGTCTTGGATGCATTTCCATTTAGCCTAAATCGTGGGAAAAGCTCGTTATGTTTTAATATAATAATTTTTCTTCTCGGATGCTTGTTCATCTGCAATATGTTAGAACCTGAGGAAAGCTGTGCGCAAAGGTGACATTTCGATAGGACAAATTTACATTGCTCATCGCATCGCGCGCGCAAATAAAGTGAAACGATGAATGACGTTTCACGCGAGATCGGGCAACTAATCTAAATATTCAACGGTAATAACCTGAGATTGACATGAACGCAATTACCCAGATTCCGGTGGGAGCCACGTAACTTCTGACAGATGACCCTGCGGCATCTCGTACTTATCTTTGTTCAAGACGGCCGCGGTGTTCTTGTCAATTTTATTTAACAGGTTCTCTGCCTTATCAGCAAGACCGGACAGCCAGGCCATATCGACGCGAGAACTGATAAGAAATCCAATATTGTCCGGAAAAGCGGGCGAAACCGTGGTCGCACGTAACCCCCGATGAACTGCACCACACTACACCCCGATACGCGACGATGACGGAGGCATCACACATGTGAATGTGCGAACGGAACGTTAAAGCCTCCTCCGCTACAATAATTCTCGGTTCTGTCCATGGTGGAAGGATTA